AAACCGACAGCGTAGTGTTCACTGTTGGGTGGGTGGTACCCCCAAACGAGTAGGTACTCAAGTTTGGTTCTTGGATCCCGTACGTACGTTTTAACCCTAGCCACCGGGGTTCATACCCGCAAGGCCTAACTTAAATAGGTATATCTTAGAGGTCTTCTAGATACCTTTCAAATCAACATTAATATGGGTATATCTTAGAGGTCTTCTAGATACCCTTAACAATATATTATTTTCACAATCATCAATATATTCATTATGATTTAATCATTCACAATTATCATTTTTAATCAGAATACTTATTAAGATTTAATCATCATAATCATCAATCAATAATCCTTACCATACTCATCAATAAACATAATATTCAATAACAATTAGCGGCCTAGCTTCGGGTGTTAACACCCTAACTTACCGTCATACATCACATAACATTTTATTTGTTAAAAATATTACTTTTAATGTGAAAAATCATTTTTATAATGATCATAATCAATTGGTATAAAAAATAGGATTTCAGAGCTAAAAAACAACATTTTCAGACATATTTTCGGATCAGAAATTCGGGGGATCGATCCAGCCCTTTGGATCGATCCATACTATGAAAAATCACTCCTAGGGGATTGACCCAAGCCCTTGGATCGATCCATACAGTGGTGTTTCAGCCACAGTTCATCATCTTCTTCATTCGGGTCCAATTTCGGAAATACCATTTTTAGTTATCGAACTTCAACGAAACTATATAGAGATGTTCTCCAAGGTTCATAGATCATTTTGGCATCATTAATTCATAGTTTTAACATCAATTTCATGGTTTATGATTCTTGGTTCTTCAAGCATGTCAAACACAAAACTCAACCAAACGACCGTTTATGAACGTAGAAACGATCTATACGAACATTCTAGTCAGTAGATATATCTACGGGCTTACCTCGAAGCTTAATGAAGATTTTGAGAATTTTCCGGTGAGACTTCCGGTGACGATAACTCCCAACTCCGGCGACCTCTCGCCAATATGATAGCACCACTGCGTTCTCCTCACTCCCAGCAACAGAATAGATATATGAATTGTAAGAAATGGTCGAGAATTGAGGGGATGAAGGTGGTATTATATAGGGAAGCAGTGGAGGAAGAGGCCAGTGGTGATGTACACAGTTCTTGTTTTGGCGTCTCAGTGGGAAGGGCTGCGATGTTCACCATTCCAAACGCAAGTCCCTGATTGTGACTAATTTGGTCCCGGTCGGGGAACACTTTTTGGTCCAACTTTCTCCGAATTGAAATCCATTTGCACCGTTGTGATCGTACAATTAAACTCTATCCAACGATATAATTTTCATATTTATTTCTAATACTTTTTCCGACATCATATTTTTGGGTGTTTGACTTTGACAGGGTCAAAATTGGTTTAATTGACTTTTATCATACAAGGTTCTCATAATTAATTAATTCTCATAGTTTATTTCAAGAATTTATTTCAAAGTTCATATCACAACAATTTCTTCATTTATTCTTAATTTGGGCCTGTACACAGCCCAATCGAGATCACATAATAAATCAACATGTTGTATTTATCTCTATAAGACTTATTCAGATTTTGATATTGGATATCAAGACATATTTTACATTGGCCCAAAGCCCAATAATAATTTATTTTAATCAAAACAAATTTTGTTTAATTGAATATTTAATTCAATAATTTTTAGGGTATATTTCGGGGCGTTACACCAAATCTGGGTAGAAGCTTTTGCATCGGTTATTTAGTAATATTCTATGCAAAAGCCCCTTTCCCATTTCTGGGAAGAGGCTCTTGCATCGGTTATTACCAAATAACCGATGCAAAAGATTATTTTTTTAAAAAATGGTTTATTTTGTTTGCTTCCAATTTACTACATATTCAATTTCGCACGGAATTCTATGCAAAATATACATGTTCAACAACAACAAAAATTCAACCATCAACACAACAACAACTACAAACCAAAAACGCACAAATACATTAACAAAACCCAAATGCCACAAAACAAATTAAACCAAAAAAGTAAACCTTTGCATCAATCACTACTTGTACATTCTAAAAATATCATGATTTACAAACTAAGTTTTAACACCACAACTAAGAGTCAAACAACAACACTCTTCTAACATATCCATACAACTAGTACTACACAATACAATACGAAACTTACGCTAGTTCATCGAGAAAACCCCCCGCCCAAAACTCTCTAATCTCTTCTAATTCGGCTCTAGTATAAGGCGAAGTAGACTGAAACACTTGCATTACGAAAAAAACATACAACATAAAGTTTAAAAATCTATGAAAAAGAAAATGGTGATAAACACTTAATTACTTTAAAAAAGACACTAAAATAAACTTACATTGGATAAGGTAAAGAACATTGTGCACACATACTGACGATGAGCCAACAAAATCGCATGGTATAATAACCACACTCCGGGAACATCGACGCAATCCGGTCGAGCCTTAAGCTGAGGCATGTGTCGTTCCCCAAGTAACCGCCAAGACCTTTAATATATGTAAAAAACAAGTCAATAAGAAATTAATATCTTAACAAATAAAGAATTTCATTAATAAGAAATAAATTTCTTAATACTTACTCGTTGACGAAAGTCTTCACCTTCATTTTCTTAAGCCCTCTGTGTTAGAAAATAGGCCCAACGCTAGAAGGGGGGGGGGGGTGAATAGCGTTTAAAACAAAATCACAGGAAATTAAAAATGAGAGCGATAAAGTAAAGAGCGTAAGGAAGGAACACACCGAAATTTATCCTGGTTCACCACAACGTGTGGCTAATCCAGCCTCCCGAGAGACTCTCTCGAGTTACACTAGCTCCGTTAAGCTTAAAGGTGCTCAACAAACCGATACAACATGAGAACTCGAGTCACACGAGCCTCAACGCCTTTGCTTAGAGACACCGCACTCCAAGACTTCTCACGAAGGAATAAAGACTTCCTTCGAGTTTACAAAAAGGGAAAAAACCTCCCTTAAAGTGTATAGAAACACTTAAACACTCAGAAATAAAACTCTCAAAAAGAGTAGATGTGAGTGAACTAGTAAACACTCAAGAACACGACAATTTCTTCAGGGAATTGGCTCTCAAATAGCTAAGAAAAATAGGAATGCTTATGCAATGAAAGATTATTGAAATGTTGAAGAATTGTATGTAAAATGAGAGGATTTGGGTTCCATTTTATAGCCTAAAATGAGATAAACCCGTTGCAAGGTTTCCAACAGGATCACGACAAAATTTTCAGAGACACAGAGCAATAGTCGATTGCCAAAGCTTGATAATCGAGTATCAAAAGATTCCGTGTCCAAAAATTTAAAACTCTATCCGTTGGAGGGCAACAGTAATATTGATAGTCGATTGTCAAGACCTGTCACTCGACTATCAGGCCTCTCAGAAGTTTCTAGGGTTGAACAAGAAACTCGGTTAATCGAGTGACAACTTGTGTCAGTTGACTATTGGATGGTTTTGAACTTTATGTTCAGAAACTTCAATAGCCAATATTCGATTGTCATTAGCTCACAATCGATTTTCAGCTGGCTAAAACCATCCGGCGAGAAACTTAACCCGAAAAGCCGAGGTCCAAAAACGAAGTGTTCCCAAAAGTAAAAACCAAGTTTGAAAAACATTTTATATGGTATAAAATAGTGAAACCAAGACTTGTTTGATAAAAACCAAGTCTTCGAGGTCATTTGTCACGTGTGTACGGTTTTGACCGTTTTTCACGTGTTAAACCGATTGACCAAGATACAAAAGGTCGTTTTTATAAAATAATTATTTCGGAACCTTTTAAATATGCCTAGAGGTAAAAACGAGGTTTAAAATATTGAAAACCACCAAGTTGGTTCGGACCCCGAAAACTGAACGCCGAACCCCGAATACCGGACGCCGATGCCGAACGCCGAACGCCGACCGAGGTGGTTTTTGGTCTGGGCAAGGACCAGGGTTTTTAAGACATTAAAACTTTATAAAAAAAAGTTTATTTTGATGCACAAAAACATTTTATGATTTTGTAAAATTATTTTGACTCTTTGAGAACCGAGGCTTGAATTGATTGTCGGTTTTGATCACAATAAGACTGACTCGACTAAGTCTTCAATTCTTGATCTTTGTGCTTGAGTCTTTTGGTCTTGTTCCATGCCATTCTTCACGCCTTGAGTTGTTCAACAAAACTCTTCATATCCACGGGGGTTTGGCAATTATCAAAACCTGTCAGAAATGAACACGACTTTAGTTCAATGCAATAAAAAGTGTGTTCCAACAATTTCACCCTTTTTGATAATGGCAAACAAGACGGGAATATGCATAGGGTTTTGATCTTTTTGAAAAAAAATTCCCCCTTAATGAAAATTCCCCCTTAATATATGCATAGCCCTTATCTTCTCCCTTTTGACATTAACAAAAAGATTTAGCAACAAAAACCATAAAGATTTTTATTTATTAAATAAGGGAAAAGGCGAAGTACACATAACGGAAGAAAATTTTAAAATGCATAAAAATATTAAGAGAAAAGAGAGGAGCTAGAGCTCTAGAAATCCGGGGAGAGATCATCGAGGAGTTGGTCTTCGTCGATGTCTTCCTCTTCCTCTTCCTCTTCCTCTTCTTCTACTTCTTCTTCTTCTTCTTCTTCTTCTTCTTCTTCTTCTTCGTCTTCTTCTTCCTCGTCTTCTTCACCACCAACGTCATTTGTCCCGCTTGGTTCACCCCCGAAGTTTGGCGGAGGAGCGTAAGGGACCATTTGAGCGTAAGGGTAGTTGACAAAGTCAAAATACCCGTGAAGCTCACGGCTCAAAATGTTGACGTTTTGGGCCGTTTGGGAGATGTTGGTGTCTATCCGAGAAAGGGTGGCGGTCAAGGCGACCATTTGCTCGGCTAGAGATGGGGTGTTTGAAGAAGCATCCCTTGGTTGCTGATGTGGACGAGGCTGTCGGAACGGAGTTTCATCATTGCCCGAGTGGAATGAGGATTCATCAATCTCCCAATGCTTTGTCCCCTTTTGCTGCGGCCCAACGTCGTTCTTGATGTTGTACTCATCAAGAATCGCCAGGACGAGGAGGGCATATGGGAGCGGCCAATTGTCGGAGGTGGCGCTAAACATGTGAGTCATCACAAATTTACACCAATTAATGTTGGCGTTGTGAATCATCACATGAAGCGTCGTTGTGTCTTCTTGGGAGAGAGTGGTGTGATTGAACTTCCTTGGCTTGAGAATCCGTGTCAAAACATAAAAAATGAATCGAAACACGGGATTCATGGAAGTAATCGTCGGGCGCTGCTGTTGGGGAGTGGGGGAAAATTTTGGATTCCCACTTCCTCCAAGAGGGCGGTTTCGTTGAACCGTTCCCCTCCTTCTGCGACGTAGAGGCTGAGATCCTCTCCATTCCGACGAAGCCCGGTGAGTATTTGAATGTTCTCCTCATTCAAATAGATATCCACCCCCTTGACGTTTGAAATCAACGCTCCGTCCTCATCATTTTTCAGATTCGAGTAGAATGCTCGAGCGAGAAAAGGTTGATAGTGAGCATTCTTGATGTAGAGGAGGTCGATGAAGTTTCCACGTTCGTGGATAACTCATGCCTCGCGAGGAATGGAATTGTGGATGAAGCGGGCGGTGGAGAACCGGGGAGGGAGAATTTCCCGATGCTCAAACTTCTCCGAGAACCGTGTTGCCTCTGCGCGGTCGTTGAACCAAAGGAACAACCCATCGAGGTACTTGTGTGCCGATGGCGGAGGAGGAGCCGAGGAGGAAGCAACGTTCTTCCCGGTGCGAGATCGTTTTCTTTGACCTCCTGCCCATGTCAACAAGAGAGAGAGAGAGAACACAAGAAATTTGCAGAGATTTTTCCAAAAAAATGAAGAACAATTGCAAGAATGATGAATATATTGAGAGGAGATTGGAATAGGTAAACAATGAGTAGAGTTCACCAATATATAGGGTTGGAGGCCTAGAGATCCGTTGGTGTAGTCAAAGAGGAAATAAATGCTCTCCAAATGGCTCTGAAACGGTCATATTTTTGAAAATATGTCGTTGTCAGTCGATTTACACAGCCTGTAACTCGACTATCTGTGACCTCAAGTTTTCCGCTGAAGGATCTGCGAACCCTGTTAGGCGATTGACATAATGTTGCTAGTCGACTGACACTGGTTTGCTCCTGAAGTTTGAAAAGTTCAGCGGCCCCTGTTACTCGAATATCAAAATTTTGATACTCGATTGTCTGGATTCTCAGCTTAATTGCCCCAAACTTCTACGGGCTGTGATAGTCGAGTATCACCAGTCTGTAACTCGATTTACACATTGACTTTCTGTGTTCCCCCTGACTTTGACACCTGAAAATGAATCAAAAATGAACCCTGCAAAAAAAGTTAAAAACGTCTCCGGCGTTCAAGTTAGTAATGACCAAAAATTAAATATTTAATGCCCAAATTAGATCATCGTGGAGTCAAGAATTCCGAGTTCACTACGAATGCGGAAGAACGACTCTTTCTCTAAAGGTTTTGTGAAGATGTCGGCTAATTGGTTGTGTGTTTCAACAAACTCAATTTCGACATCACCTTTGAGAACATGATCTCTAATGAAACGATACCTAATGTCAATATGTTTTGTCCTTGAGTGAAGAACTAGATTCTTCTTCAAGTTAATGGCGCTAGTATTATCACATCGAAGAGGAACGTGATCAATACTAAGGCCATAATCCACTAGTTGTTGTTTCATCCAAAGGATTTGAGCACAACAACTACCTGCGGCAACGTATTCCGCTTCGGTTGTGGATAACACAACACTGACTTGCTTCTTACTAAACCATGAGACTAACGAGCTACCAAGCAAGTGACATGTCACACTCGTGCTTTTACGGTCTAATCTACAACCGGCAAAGTCCGAGTCGGAATAGCCAAAAAGATGACAAGGAGACCCTTTGGGGTACCATAGTCCAACGTTCACTGTACCAACAAGATATTTCATTATCCGTTTCACCGCCGTTAAGTGCGATTCTTTCGGAAAAGATTGATACCTTGCACATAAATAAACGCTAAACATGATATCGGGTCTACTAGTGGTAATATAAAGAAGGGATCCGATCATACCTCAATACTTCTTTACGTCTACTTCCTTACCCTTTTCATCTTTGTCCAAGTGTTCGGAGGTGCTCATCGGGGTAGCCATTGCCTTGGAGCCATCCATTTCAAATCTTTTTAGGAGCTCTTTGTAATACTTTGATTGACAAATGAAGGTTCCTTATCTCATTTGTTTGACTTGTAAGCCCAAGAAGAAATTGAGTTCTCCCATCATGGACATCTCAAATTCATTTGTCATTAGATTTGAGAATTCCTTGCACAAAGATTCGTTAGTACCAAGAGGATGTTATCGTTTTTACTCTTGATAAAAAGCGCAGTGTCAACCTTCCCTCTTTTGAACCCGTTGTCCAAAAGAAATTTGCTCAAACATTCATACCAAGCACGAGGTGCTTGTTTAAGACCGTAGAGTACTTTCATTAATTTATAGACATACTCCGGGTGCTCAAAATCCTCAAAGCCCGGGGGTTGATCCACATACACTTCCTCTTGAATAAAACCATTGAGGAAGGCACTCTTAACATCCATTTGGTATAGTTTAAAATCCATAGATGAAGCAAAAGCAAGTAATAAACGAATAGCTTCTAAACGTGCTACCGGTGCATAAGTTTCTTCGAAATCAATGCCTTCTTCTTGATTGTAGCCTTTAGCTACGAGCCTAGCTTTGTTTCTAGTGATTATCCTGTTTTCATCGAGTTTGTTACGGAACACCCATTTCGTACCAATTAAGGTATGATCATCGGGTCTTGGAACCAATTCCCAAACGTCATTTCGTTTGAATTGGTTAAGCTCCTCTTGCATTGCCAAGGTCCAATGTTCATCATCAATTGCTTCCGAAATGGTTGTAGGTTCAATTCGAGAAACAAAAGCCATGTGACCTACGGTTTCCCTAAGAGAGCTACGAGTACTTACCTTTCGGTTGATTATGTCACTTATTACCTTGTCAAGAGGATGGTCCTTTGAAGTCCTCCATGCCCTTGGCATTGACATTTCTTCCTCTTGTGGTTGTTCCTCGTTCATAGGTGGCTCTTCTTCTTCGTCTTGGGCTTCCTTTGAGTTGTTTCCTTCGTCATTTTCGCTGAGATAGTTGTTCTCCAATGAATCTACAAGATCATCGCAAGAAACCTTTCTCGCCAAGCGAGTATCATTTTCGGCAAAGACAACATGAGGAGATTTCTCAACGGTTAAGGTAAGTTTGTTGAAGACTCTATAAGCCTTACCACGCAATGAATAACCAAGAAAAATTCCTTCATCCGACTTTGCATCAAATTTACCCAAGTTATCTTTTCCGTTATTGTGAACAAAACATTTGCAACCAAAGACTCGAAGATAGGAGAGATTTGGCTTTCTTCCTTTGTATAGTTCATATGGGGTTTTCATGAGTATTGGTCTAATGACGGCTTGGTTTAACACGTAGCTCGTGGTACTCACGGCATCCGCCCAAAAATACTTATGAATTTTTGCCTCATCGAGCATAGTTCTAGCCATCTCCTCGAGACAACGATTTTTACGTTCCACCACGCCATTTTGTTGTGGTGTACGTGGAGCAGAGAAGTTATGCTCGATGCCTAGTTCGTCACAAAACTCGGTAAAGAGATTTCGTTCGAACTCTCCACCATGATCTCTTCGTATGGCCACGGTGGTTAATCCTTTTTCATTTTGAACCTTTTTTGAGAAAAGTTTTTAAAACATGAAATGCCTCACTTTTGTGAGTTAGAAATAATGTCCATGTGAATCGAGAGTAGTCGTCAACAATCACAAAGGCGAAATAGTTTCCCCAAAACTTTTTGTTCTTGATGGTCCAAAGAGATCCATGTGCAAAAGTTGTAGGGGCCTTGTTGTAGACACAACATTTTTCGATTGAAATGAGGCCCTTACTTACTTGCCCTTTTGACATGAATCACAAATTGTATCCTTCTCAAACTTGAGTTTTGGAAGGCGAACTACTAGGTCTTGTGAAACCAATTTATTCAAAAGGTTCATGTTGACATGAGCTACTCTACGATGCCATAACCACATATCGTCCTCCTTACTCATGAGATATTTTGCAAAGTCGGAAGGAGATTCATCTAAGTTAACCATATAAATGTTATCGATTCTATGACCATGAAGAATCATCTTATTGTCACTAATACGTTCTACCATGCATGATTTGGAATCGAAGGTCACACGATTTCCCTTGTCACACAATTGGCTTATGCTCAAGAGATTGTGTTTGAGACCCTTAACTAATAACACATTATCAATAGAGGAGGTTTCGTTTTTACCAACCGAACCAATGCCGATTTTTTTGCCTTTGCTATTATCACCAAAGACAATGTTTCCTCCTTTAGTTGGTTTGATTTGCAAGAACTTGGATGCATCTCCGGTCATGTGCTTGGAGCATCCGCTATCAAGGTACCAAAGTACACTTGATGCCTTCAAGCACACCTACAAATCAATTTAAAAAGATTTAGGTACCCAATTCGTTTTGGGTCATTGGGCGTTAGGTGCACGTTGGTAGTGTGATTGGTTTGGAGTGCAATGCCTATTCCTAGTGAAGCAAACCGGGGCTATATGTCCTACCATATTGCAATAATGACAAATAACATTTGGATTATGCATTCTCCTAGGTTGATAATAGTTACTAGGTTTTCTATATTGATTGATCCTAGTTTGAGAAAAATTTTGTTTATGCATATTTATAAAATTGTTTCTAGGTTCTCTAACTTGACCATTGTTCATCCTAGTGTTCTTTGTAGGCGGTCTAGTGTTTCTAGTTGTTCTAGGTTGTCTATTATTGCTTATTTTATTTTTCCTAAGTTGAGCCTTAGGTTGTTTAGGTGGTTGCTAAACTTTTTCCTTATTATTATTAGTTTGATTTTCAAAACCTAAGCCATGTTTAGTAAGTTGCAAATTGTCAAGAATATCATTAAGATTTTTATGAGAGACACCAAACTTCTTCAAGGTTCCTTCAAGTTTTGCAACTTGTTGCTTAAGAGATGTACAAGAATTACATTTGGGACTTTCCGGTTTGTCGGCGCTTCTTTTTCCGAAAAACTTATTTTCTTCTTTAAGTTTTTCATTATCTTTTGATAGTTTATAAACTTCCTTCTCCATAGAAGTAAGTTATTTCTTCAAATCCTTGTTAATTTTAGAAGCGTTGACATATTCATCATAAAGTTCATTGAAAGCTTCTTGAACATCATCAAAAGTGTAAAAATCTTTAGAAGTGGTACATACCTCTTCCGGTGGTTCCTCGTGTGCCATGAGTTAAAGGTTGGCGCTTTCGTTTTCTTCGCCTTCCGATGATTCATCGATGGAATCACCTCCCCACGAGATGTAAGCTCGGTGCTTCTTGAACGGTTTCTTCTCCTTCTCGTTTTTGGCATTTGGGCATTTTGGCTTGATATGCCCAATTTCTCCACACCCATAGCATTTGGGTGGTCCTCCATGTTTCTTGCCCTTTCGTTCATACTCCTTTCGCATGAACTTGTGGAATTGTTTGATAACGAGCCCGAACTCGTTGTCTTCATCACTTGATTCCTCCATGGAAGGTTCTTGGCTTGAGGAAGCCTTGAGTGCAACCCCCTTCATCTTTTGTTCACCTAAAGAGGGGAAAAGAATGGTAGACTCATAGGTTTTGAGGTTACCTCTAAGCCCGTCGATGGTGATGTTGGTGATGCCGATAGACTCTTGGATGTCATCGGCTTTGGAGCGCCATTCCGGTGTGAGACTCTACAGGATTTTTCTCACAAGCTCCTTTTCTGTGTACGTCTTTTTAAGAGCGTGAAGATCATTGATGATTTTTGAGAATCGTTCAAACATCTCATCGATTTTCTCATTCTCCTTCATACGAAACAATTCATATTCATGGGTTAGAAAATCTATTTTAGCTTCTCGGACTTGTTCACTACCTTCATAAGTGATTTCTAGCTTGTCCCACATTTCCTTGGCGGTGGAACAACAAGAAATCTTCCGGTAGTCTTCCGGGTTTACGACACAATAGATGATGTTGATGGCCTTTGAATTGTTCTCGACTTTCTTGATGTCATGTGCATCATACTCATCTTCGGTTTTAGGGGCGTTGGTTTCCCCGACCTTCTTCATGGGAACATCTTCGCCGTTTTTGATAATCCTTCACAGGAGAAAGTTGGTGGATTGGATGTAAATCCTCATCTGCTCCTTCCAATAAGTGTAGTTCATTCCGTCAAACAACGGAGGCCTCGTGGTGGATTGCCCTTCACCTACACCTGCGTATAAGTTTTGAGTAGAAGCCATTGATCGTTTCTCTTAAACGGTTAAGTCTTTCAGAGAGTATGGCTCTGATACCAATTGTTAGAAAATAGGCCCAACGCTAGAGGGGGGGTGAATAGCATTTAAAACAAAATCGCAGGAAATTAAAAACGAGAGCGATAAAGTAAAGAGCTTAAGGAAGGAGCACACCGAAATTTATCCTAGTTCACCACAACGTGTGTCTAATCCAGCCTCCTGAGAGACTCTCTCGAGTTACACTAGCTCTGTTAAGCTTAAGGGTGCTCAACAAACCGATACAACTTGAGAACTCGAGTCACACGAGCCTCAACGCCTTTGCTCGGAGATACCGCACTCCAAGACTTCTCACGAAGGAAAAAAGACTTCCTTCGAGTTTAAGACAAGGGAACAAACCTCCCTTAAAGTGTATAGAAACACTTAAACACTCAGAAATAAGACTCTCAAAAAGAGTATATGTGAGTGAACTAGTAAACGCTCAAGAACACGACAATTTCTTCAGGAATTGGCTCTCAAATAGCTAAGAAAAATAGGAATGCTTATGCAATGAAAGAGTATTGAAATGTTGAAGAATTGTATGTAAAATGAGAGGATTTGGGTGCCATTTTATAGCCTAAAATGGGATAAACCCGTTGCAAGGTTTCCAACATCATCAGGACAAAATTTTCAGAGACACAGAGCAATAGTCGATTGTCAAAGCTTGATAATCGAGTATCAAAATATTCCGTGTCCAAAAATTAAAAATTCTATCCGTTGGAGGGCAACGGTAATACTGATAGTCGATTGTCAAGACCTGTCACTCGACTATCAGGCCTCTTAGAAGTTTCTGGGTTTGAACAAGAAAATCGGATAATCGAGTGACAACTTGTGTCAGTCGACTATTGGATGGTTCTGAACTTTAAGTTTAGAAACTGCAGTAGCCAATATTCGATTGTCATTACCTGACAATCGATTTTCAGCTGGCTAAAACCATCCGGCGAGAAACTTAACCCGAAAAGCTGAGGTCCCAAAACGAAGTGTTCCGAAAAGTAAAAACCAAGTTTGAAAAAGATTTTATATGGTATAAAATAGTGAAACCAAGACTTGTTTGATAAAAACCAAGTTTTTGAGGTCGTTTGTCACGTGTGTACGGTTTTGACCGTTTTTCACGTGTTAAAGAGATTGACCAAGATACAAAAGGTGGTTTTTATAAAATAATTATTTGGGAACCTTTTAAATATGCCTAGAGGTAAAAAAGAGGTTTAAAATATTGAAAACCACCAAGTTGGTTTGGACCCCGAAAACCGAACGCCAAACCCCAAATGCCGGACGCCTATGCCGAACGCCGAACGCCGACCAAGGAGGTTTTTGGTCTGGGCAAGGACCAGGGGTTTTAAGACATTAAAACTTTATTAAAAAATTTTATTTTGATGCACAAAAACGTTTTATGATTTTGTAAAATTATTTTGACTCTTTGAGAACCGAGACTTGAATTGATTGTCGGTTTTGATCACAATAAGACCGACTCGACTAAGTCTTCAATTCTTGATCTTTGTCCTTGAGCCTTTTAGTCTTGTTCCATGCCGTTCTTCACGCCTTGAGTTTTTCAACGAAAGTCTTCATATCCACGGCGGTTTGGCAATTATCAAAACATGTCAGAAATGAACACGACTTTAGTTCAATACAATAAAAAGTGTGTTCTAACACTCTGGTCGCCTTGATTGAGTTTAGGAAATAAACATTGTTTTGAAAAAGAACATATTACAACTAACACCCAATGATGCCTACAATTGAAAAAGCGTTAGTCACTATATGTAAAATAAAAAACCGAAAAACATATAGTATCGATAGATACAACGGCATAAGTATCCAGGGTTGCGATTGATAGGTCTCGAGTGCTCTATCCTGATACTGGCGATCTCCAAAATCTACCACGTACGCCATGTTCTCTGAACATAACAACCCGACAGACGCGATGTCGTGCTCCATCATATGATCTTGCAACAATATAGTAATTTCACATGTAAATAATAATTACAATTATAACAAATAATTATAATTTACAATAGTAATTTATTCGTATGTAGTGCTTGAAATACCTCAAGAAAACAATGATGATGGTCTGATCGACCTCCTCCCATTGCATGAACTCACGTATATTCTTCGGACGCATCCTCAGCTCCGTCTCCTCCGGATAGAGCATAGACTCCCTGCAACGCGGCCCGAATGAGATGTATGAGCTCCAGTCAAAAACATCATGTATGACAGAGCTAGGAGGAGCAGTGGGGCGTACGCCGAGAGTAGGACGGGATTTGCTTGATGAGAAGTCGCCATGTTGAGCCGTGTGCAACGGGGGCTACGAATATTTTCAAAAAAAAGATATTTGAAACACAGCCAAATGATGTTGAATAAAAAAGAACTAAATTTATTTACTTCTTACATCTCCAAAGCCCACCAACGACTTTGGCCATGCAACGAAGCTCCCCTCGCAATCGGCAACAGTCTCTATATGCTCAGTCGGACAAGGAATGGTATACTCACCCATTCCATGAAGCACAACGGTCAAAGAGACCTTAACCTGGTGAGGAAGGAGGGGAACACCGTGCACCATATCTCCTAGTGCATATGGGAAAACCGGTCCATGTGAAACAATAATAAATTAAATGAAAATGATCAATATTAACAGAAAAAATACCTAAAGCATTATTTTAACTTTTTCTTTCCCCCATCTATCCATAATCCCTCTTCATGATCTTCGCAAATGTATTTTGCTCCTATATCATCTACTTGTGAGTTTGGCGAAATCATTGAAATATGAGTTGTTTCGTCATATAAACCGTCGTCCACCTCAACTGATGCCCTCTTCCTTGTCGAACAACAGACCAATTTTTATCTTTAGGATCAACAATGTAATAGATTTGCGTCGCTTGAGAGGCCATTATAATGGGTTCCTCATGATGACCCAACTTCTGAAAACTCACTAATTTAAACCCCATGTCATCTGATTTAATCCCCTTGTTGATATCCACCCATTTACACCAGAAAACAGGAATTGTGATGTTTGTATATTCGAGTTCCCATATATCCTCGATCAAGCCATAATATGTTTTGTATGACCGGATCGGGGTCGAATCTTCACCCCTAGGAATGTGTAGGGAAGAAGCATTCAAGGACACACCGCTATTTTGTACTGTACTCTTCTCATCCGGACGTTTTGGGTAAAAATAATAGCCATTCATGTAGTACCCCTCGTAAGAAGATATATTTACCGACGGTCATGTAGCTAATGATCGCACATTTTCTGTGACATTATGAGGAGAATGTATTGTTTGCCATCGAACATGCTCTTGAAACCATTTTAGGAATATACGATTGTGCTCATTGGTCAACCACCTCTCAATTTGCCCAGGGTTCTCTTGTCTTAAAAGAGACATGTGTTTCTTTAAATACGGATGAACATCATCTGTTTGTTGTAAAATATAGAGTTGTGCTAAACTGAACATTTCAGAGTCAAGATGGATGATGTGATGTCCTATTTTTCCTTTCACCTCCGTTCTACCTTCATGCCGAGACTTTGGTACCCCAACCGTGCACTCCAAATCCAAATACTCGCTACAGAATTCAATAATCTCTTTGGCCAAATATCCTTCGACAATACTGCCCTCAGGTCTATACCGGTTACTCACATATCTTTTCAAAATACCCATAAATGTCTCTAATGGATACATGTACCGAAGAAAAACAGGGCCACAAAGTTTAACTCCTCTCACCAAATGCACAACTAAATGGACCATGATATCAAAAAATGATGGAGGAAAGAACATCTCAAATTCACATAAGGTGACTACCACTTCCTCTTGTAACTGATCCAACGTTTCAGCATCCATGACCTTACTACAAATGGCGTTAAAAAATAACAAAGTCTAGTTACTGTCCCCCTCACATTCGTTGGCAATATTGATCTAATTGCCACTGGCAAGAAATGCTGAATTAAAACATGGAAATCGTGAGATTTAAGACCGTTCAATTTCAAATGCTTCATCGACACATGACTCTTAATGTTTCCATCATACCCTTGTGGAACCTTTATATCATGTATACATTGAGAAAGAGTGATTTTTTCTTCTCTAGAAAGTGTGTAGCAAGTAGGAGGGAGAAATGTGTGATGTCCTTTTTCTTGTGGTCCAAGCTCAGTTCGAATGCCCATGTCTATAAAGTCTTTTCTGGCATTAACACCATCTTTAGTCTTGTCAAGAACATTTAGGAGGGTGCCAATAAGACTATCACATACATTTTTTTCTATATGCATCACATCAAGACAATGTCTGACAGATAAGCACTCCCAATAAGGTAGTTCCCAAAATTTTGATCTTTTCTTCTAAATAGGACCGTTTGGATCAACTTTCTGTGTCTTACCAAATGTATGGTTTATGTTCTTCAAGTTCTCATGCAATGCTTTGCCACTCAATACATTCGGAGCAACCTTATTTTCTGCTTGACCATTGAAAGCTCTTCTCAAGCGATGGTAAGGATGTTGACGTCTTAAAAATCGGCGATGACCTATGAAGATTGTTTTTTTTCATTCTTTAGCCACACACTAGAAGTATTCTCCTCACATATCGAGCATGCATATTTTCCCTTAATCTTATAACCAGATAGGTTACCGTATGCTGGGTAGTAATTGATTGTCCAAAGAATCATAGCACGTAACCTGAAAAACTCTTGACAATAAGCATCAAATACTTTGACACCATGAATCCACATTTCCATCAAGTCATCAATCATTGGGGCTAAGAATACATAAATGTCATTACCCGATTGTTTAGGCCCAAGTATTAACAACGATAGTGGCGAAACTGAATATAGCAGTAAGTCAATAAATTAACCGAGAATAACTCGGGTCGTCTCACAAGATAATAGCAATAATCTGATTAATTCAATCAAGTTTTAATTTAACAGAACAATTAATCTTGAACTTAGAGCAATCAAGTTTGAAGCAAGATAATAGCAATAATCTAATTAATTCAATCAATGATTTAGAAACAGGTATGAATCGATCAGGTATATGGGCTAAGAAAATAATTTTAGATTAAATTAACTTCTTGATTAATTAGATTTTATATCATTAACTTATCCTATTTCTAGGCCTCATTAATGTGTCTAAATATGGTTGGCTAGATTATTTTTCCTAACTCATAGAGAAGCCAGACAAATAATATCCAAAGATTAATTAATAAATTGGCCAGATCTATTAATTAGTGAATCTGATTTTAGACAAATAAATCAATTAACCAAGTCACTAACTTAATTTTAATTAATAATCATTAGCCCATACCCTTAATTCAATTCATACCATAATGAAAGTTTAGCCACTAAAAGCCATATAAACACACAAATTACAATAAAAGCTAATTTTATTAATAAAGAAAAAGTGTACAAGAAAGCTTATAGATCTTGGAGAATGGAATTCAAATCACACAAATCTTCAAATCAACACTCTAATACGTTTAGGAAGAACTCTTAAACTCTAGAAAGGAGAAAAGGTGGGATTTTTGGATGGTGGTGAAGGAAATGGCCGAGTGGGGTATTTAAACCCGAGCGGACCACACAGGCGGGCAAACAGGCGGCCGCTTGTCAGCCCGCCACCGCCGAATGAGGAAGGTTCTGGAGACGCGAACTTTCGAGAATGTCGATAGGCGGGCAGGCAGGCGGGCGCCTGCTAGCTCGCCGGAGCCTAAACTCGCTGTCTGCGCGTTGCTTCGCCACCAGAGCCAACCCTTGCCGTTTGCTGATGATTGGCAGGTGGCCTGCTAGGCGGCCGCCTGCCTGGTCGCCTGTCATGCACTCGGCTCCTTAACTCCTATTTTGCTTTAAAATTGATTCTGAACACCTTTCTCTCTTGCTTCAACTTCCAATTGCATTCCAAGAGGAAAATATTACTAATTTCTTGTTGAAATCAAACATTTTTTTATCTTTTCTTGGCCCATTCAATTTTACTACTCCAAAGTATAGAAATATGACATTTAATAGAAAAATTATTCTTTATTAAGATGAAAAGTTAAAAAAAAATGTGTTAAATGTGAGGATAATATTATGTATAAAACGACTTTATCAATCTCCTCACACTTAAACTTTGCTTGCCCTCAAGCAAAACAACTCATGTAAGAAAAAGAATGACATGATTCGCTGTCAAACTCGTAATTCTCGAGAACAACACCAAGTTAATAACCATATATCTTTCTCTTACTTCTAGAAATTCCTTGACTTATTCTCTTTTTATTCTAAAAACTAACTTGTTTCTTAACTCTTTAGGAGATGCACAAGATTTCATTCTCTAACCAATTCCCAAAGGATTAAAATCTTAATAGCTTTTGGACTTAGGGAATTACCTCCTCTGTCATGACTTAATTCAAGTGAATCCGTGAGTATCCCATAAATGTCCTTATGATATTAATTTTTTATAATTCGTCATTATTTCCTTTGGACAGAGCTCCGTGAGAGATAGAATACTCACTTATAATGCAAATAGACTATCGAGATTGTGGGTTTATCCCATTTTATTTGCATACTTGCTCCCTCACCTTATGCGATTCACGGGAGAAGCAGAGCTCCTTTACAGAGAGAGGATTCCCAATTCGTCACTTAAGTGCAATCTCAATATCCATCATAACTTCTTTATTTTTTTTATGATGACAGAGGAGAAATTCCAAAAACCCAAACTACTAGTTATTAATCCCTAACTTTCTCAACCATTAAACCCACTTGTGCATCACTTAATGAATAAGAAACAAGTTAATTAGTTTAAATAAAAGGAAAATATCTAGGAAGAGAAAAAGTAAGAAAAAAATATGACAACAACTCAGTATGTATCAAAAATTACGTGAGAGACAACAAATCATACCTGATACTTGAACTCTACCTCCTCACATTTAAATCGAACTACGTCCTCGTATTCAAGATGCAAGAGATGAGTCAAAGAACAGGAGTAACATTCCTCCTCACACTTGAAATAAACAATAAAGTGCAAGCATTAACCATAAAAGTTTGCATAAATTAGGGTAGCAAAATAAACGGGCCAAGTCAAAATAAAATTGTTTAAAATCAACAGAAATTAAAAATATCTTCACTACTGGTGGCTGGCTCTGGAGGAAGGAGCTGTAGGCGCAAACTTCTTACCGAGCAGCATCTCGAGCTCATGGAGCTTCTCAGTGTGGGACTCTAGGCGTTCATTCATCCTCTTCATTTGCTTCTCATGGGCGCTATGGCCATTCTCCATGATGTCCTTCACGTCCTGGATGCTGGTCTCGATAGCGCCCATCCTTGTGTTCAGTCTCGTCATCTCCTCCAAGATCTTCTGTAGCATGGATGTCTCAACGCCGCTCGACGAAGCTGTGTACGTCCCTGGCTGAACAAAAGAAGAACCCCCAGCCACGAACGTCCCTGTGGTGGCATCTAGAATGGGAGAATGGACGGTGGTATCAAGCCCATCAAAGAAGTCTAGTGGCGGCTCATCACTCTCCTCTACTCGACGCCTCTTCGCAATCCCCATTTTCGTGAGAGATGTGGTGCTCAGAGGACGAATGCTCTGGTCAATGGGAAGCAAATTACCCGGCATCTCGGGCAGAAGGGAACGTGCAAGGTGAGTAACAAAGGGTCCCGCCTGAAGAGTCTTCCTATGGCTCTTCCCCTGAAGTAGGAAGAACTGAGTCATGAAGAGAGCTAGGTTCACCTGAACCCTCTCTGCCAAACTCTAGAAGAAATATATGTCCTTCATGCCAATCCGATTTGAGTTAGTCGGACGACCGAAGAGACCATGTGAAAGCACAAAGCTGAGTATCCTCCAGGCACTTCTCCTCCACTGACAAGTATGCGCCGTGTTCTTGTTGAATGGCGTCGTCGACAAGAAATGCTGCTGCCAGAACTGCTCAAGACTGCACTCTGAAGGCAAAGAATAGGGAAGAGCAGCAAAGACAAGGGAGCGTGCCTCCTCCTCAGTGTATATGCCCAGACGACACCCGAACTCGGCCATGGAAAGGGTGAAAGCTCGACCACCAAGTGAAAACGTCAATGTGGAATCGGGTCTGACATCAGCTGCATCCTTAAAAGGCCGGCCACCATGCAGACACTGGTAGGTGCAAAGAAACTCGATCGTCAGCTCCAAACTAGACTGCTCTGCAAAGGTGAGCAAGTAACGCCAACGAGAGTCTCTTCTTTCCCCATGTGCGAAAATGCTTAAGGGGCTCTCGTGATGGCAAGCGCATCTCGAATGCAGCTGGCAGCGTGACATTGAGAACCTCCTGCTCGTAATCCTCCTTAGCCATCTGTAAACCAAAACACAAACAAAAACAAAGCAATACAAATAAAGTGAAGAATAAAAATTACAAAGTAATGTAAATAGTAAAACATATGACGGGTTGCCTCCCGTTTAGCGCTAGATTTAATGTCGCTAGCTCGACGAAGTCAACCTAATCATCAAAGTTCTCGAAAGTGAAAAACTTCCGTATCCTTTTGAAAGGTTCCTCCACGGTAAATCTTCAACTGATGACCGTTAACCTTGATTCGTCCTCGCTGATGATCATCAATCTCAATAGTACCATAAGGAAAAACTTGAGTGACCGTGTAAGGACCTGTCCATCTAGACTTAAGCTTCCCTGGAAAGAGCTTGAGCCTAGAATTATACAACAATACCTTATCTCCTACATTAAATTCACGATTCGCTTTAATAAACATATCGTGATAAATCTTTGTACGCTCCTTGAGATAGGCTTTATTCCTAAAAGCTAAAGTCCGCCATTCGTCTAACTTATTCAATTGGTAGAAACGCTCTTTCCCAGTAGTAGAAGGATCGAGACACACATTCGTGAGGGCCCAAAGTGCTCTATGCTCAATTTGGACTAGCAGATGGCAGGACTTTCCAAAGACTAAGGGGGTGTTTGAAAGGTAACAATGCAAGGATAGGCAGCGGAATATAAAAATTTTAACATCCTAACATGATTATCTTGCCCAGAATCACGTACTAAAACATATAGTAGTAAGAAATTTATACCTTTCTCCGTAAGCGGTTAAAACGAAGAAGTCGTAGGAAGAGCGTTGAAAGTGCAAACGTAACCGTTCAAGCGTCCGGTCTCCAACTTTGACACACGAACAACGCCAGAGTCTACCACAATCTTTATGCTAGTAAAGATTATAGTAGTATAAAATATAAAGATTAAAATTTGGGATAATAATAATCTTGTATATTTCTATAGAAAATATTTCTAATAATATTTAGAAAATATTATA